TAAATAAAATATTTATGCAAAAATATGATTAATCTCAAGGATTTAACTATACTATTTAATTAAAGCATTCTTGAACGGAACATCTGCGACTAATGCATAAAATGGAAATCAAGCCAAAAAGTGTTACATACAAACAAATATGGTATATGCATGTGTGCCTCCGCTAATCCTTCTGATGTTTTTCGCCAATCAACCTTGTAGGGTTGTAGGTAGGCCATTAAGGTTGGCAATGGTTTTATGTGGGCATTTGGTGTCATGAAATAATCTCTCGAAAACGGGCACTGGCATTTCATATTTGCAGGCATCATGCGATCGAAACTAAGCATATACATTTTGCCTCTTCAAAATGTTTGTGGATATAAAAACAGCTCTGTCAAACCACCAAAATGACAGTTCATTGCTAGCAATGGATGGTAAAATATGTATTTAGACATCTATTGCTAAACATTAGCATTGTGCAGTCTCCATTGGCAATATTGCTAGCCATATAGATTTTTAGAAATTATATATTGCCTGTCGAGATGCCTCGTTATTCTTAAAGCTCAGCAACAGTACAGCAGTGAATCAGCTGGGATCATATAGTTACCGCATTGGTGCTTAACCCGCTTGTAATGGTTTAATAAGCAGCAATAAAGTCGGCAATAGCCCAGCAACATAACCTACGATAAATTAGATAAAGTTTTAGTTCTTAATATTAATATTAAGAGTTGCCTCATTGATATTTTCGATTTCCCATATAAATAACACAGGAAATTTTCTTTTTTTTCTTTGGATTTTTATTGTACACAAACAAATAATTGTTAAGCGTGAATCAACACATATTCTTATAGGAAATTTACCGATCTACAAAAAAGGCTTGAAACTTTTTTTGGTTGAGTCAGCTCATTTCAAGTTATTCGTAGTTATAATCCAACAGAAAATCATAGAAAACTAAACACCACCCGAATATATACATATATTTGTGTGTATGTAGATATGTACAATACAATATCATGTGCAATGAGAAATACTTACATATGTATATGTATGTACTTACTTTTCCCGAGGTAGCAGTCAGTTTGCTTGATTTTGTGGCTCTATGAGGACCAACTAATATCTCCGTGGAAATATTCAGCATATTTTTGCAAATATCTATAAACTTGGTGCAAATACATACGCGCCGTTTAATTAATTTTTAAACTATTTACTAAAAAATAGAACGTATGAAAGTATTTATTGAAAGAAAAATGTATATGATGTCTTGCAAGTAGGGTTTTCGTGGCAGCGATAGCCTTATCGACTTAAATTTCTCCCTTTCGCGACTTTTTTAAGTTTAGAAATAAAAAAAAGTCGCACGGGGACAAATCCGTAGGATACGGTAGACGGAGCGGCAGTTCCTGGCTTAATTCGATGATTTGTTAGGTGTGATGGCGGAAAAGTGAGGTAGTCGATGTAGATCACATGGGAAGGTGGCCGTCACCTTTTTGGTCAATAGTATCGTCCGGTTCGGCGCTGGTTCTGGGGCTCTGGTGTGTGTATCGGGATCTATGTTTCGTCAACGTAACCTATTGTCTGGAGTGAGCACGCGTGAAGCCTGATAGCTTTTTCGTACACTACCCTTCTTGTGGTTAAAAACTTTTCGGTATTTCGTTCATTGGTTCCAAAGATGCTAGTTTAAAAATACGCTCTTTGACAACTCCACGTGTTCTTCAAAGTTGCTCCGTACGCACTGTCTTTTTAATCAGCGGGATCTAGCAAAATTATTCAATAGGAACTATGAACCGTTGTTTCGAATTAAGAAGGTCAATGATTCCATGTACTGTTAACAATGTTTCGTTTCTAAAGAGTTTCGCGAAGAGCTAGCAATATAATTGCGAATATGGAATTTCAGCGGTAATTAACACAATTTATTGGATACGATTATTATACGTAGTTGAAAAATTCCGGTGCCTTTATAGGGTGTATTCTTTCTATACTGTACTCTTATAAAGACTTTCTGGCCCCTGTTACGGTTTTCAACCCACCTGCATTTTGGTTGAAATTTTAAAATTCGGTATTATCGAAATCAACTCTACCCGTCAAACAAATTTCTGTTGAAGATTGGCAAACTTCAACATTTTTGAACTCTGTGTCAGCGGGGTTAACTAGAGTATCAAAAAAATACAACTGCTACCAAGCAGTTGCTTTCCTTTGGTAGATATGTTCAGAGAAGTAGTATTTGCTATAATTTTAGATTTTACCGTCTTTCTAATTTGAATCTACTAATTATATTATAGTAAACAGACATAGACATAGAATACATATAGGAATATTCCCAGATACATAAGTATGTATATGATTTTCTCGATCTCTGTCATTAACAAATTTAACATAAAATGTTACATATGCCAAACGGCTAAGTGAGCCCAGCACAGCCGTTCGATTCACACACTTTACGCTTTTTAGTCTGAACTACGTGCGTTTCTGCGAAATCTCCATCAATACGTTGAACTCATCCGCTTTAATCCCTTATCATTTAACCTCTTTGCAAAGTTTGCAAATTTCTTATGGCTTTCTTTTTTGCCATTTGCAGTAATATTAGCATCCTGCCAGTTACCGCCAAATCTCGGGCTTTGGAGCACTGCTCAATTGGCGACCGTCAAGCGGTCCTTCTCAAGTGTATTCCTTCTAAATGGCTTGTTTGCTTTAGTCTTTTGGTGATTAACCAACTATGGTGGATGGCTTGATATGTGACTTGACGGCAGTGGTGTCTCGTATTGCGGCGCTTTGCTAACCGCATAACCGCTCAGCATTTAGCATCTTTGTTGGGTCGTTGGTTTGCCGCCAATTCAGCATTCCCATGGTCATTGGCCGGCACTTCCCTTAGCCTTGTACTTGGCGCATACCGAAACATTCTGGCATCAGAAACATATCTACAAATCTACATAAACATAATATGGCATGTATATGTTGTACGTTTATATGTTTTTCGGTGGTTAACCTGTATTCTAACTGTTTTTATCCGGTTGATATGTATCGGCGTGCCCCGTGGTTAACACACATTACATTTCTCTTCTTTTTTGTCCTTTGTTCTTTAATTCTCTTATGGTATGTTGAGGTTTATTTTCGTTAAGCTTGCATTTTCGTTGTTGCTATATTGTTTTTGATAGGATTCTTGCAGATATTTGTGATTATCTTTTGATAAAATCGATATTAATACAAATGTACAAGTGTTAGCTCAAAATGGCACCAAAATTACAATAAGGTCGTATTAAATGATAAAAGTGTTCATTTTACGCATAAAAAGCTTAATTTAGGGTGTAATTGGCTTCATTAGATTTCCAAGTAGATGGTGCTATAATTTCCAAAGCAGGCTTTCGCGTTTGTGACAGCAGCTGTTGTTGTTTTTGTACAGGCAGAAAACATTCCTGAATTAATTTCGAGGTATGGTGCCGAGTTGACAGTCCCTGCCCATATAAAAATCCACGTCCGTTCCGGCTACTTAACCCGACTGTCGTGGAAACAGCAGCTCTCAAGGGTAGTGCTGATAAATGTCGACGACACTTAATTGAGATGATTTAGAAAAACGCACTTCTGCTTACTTCGAAATAGCTTGAAAATGTTTTTTCAAAATGTTTATGGATAGCAACGACGTATCAGGCGGGGTGAAAGTTCATACCATTTTCAACACATTGTTTTGGTAGAATTGGATTTTAATATTCAACATAGATTATAAGGATCTTTCAGCTTTTCGATTTGCTTAGGCTTTTAGATTAGATTAGAATATGAGGTTTTGCACTGACAGGTAAATACGGCGGACGTGGAGACAATTCAAAGCTAAATTCCTGCATTTTTTAGCCTAGGCTTGTTCTTCATGGATCTTATTGTTTTCAAATATTGAGGTTATAGCAATGTCAGTTGACTATTATACATTTCTTCGCTTTGGATTCGGTTCTTCCTGTTGGAGCAATATTTTATCTATTGTTACATATCGACTCAAAAAAGACTGCAAGTTATCTCGCTCAATCATAATCTAAGACGAAAGACAATAATAATAAAATTGCGAAAAGCGATTCGGCCAATTGAAGGAGAATTGTAGTACTTTAAAAGATACCTATAAGATCAGTAATATAACACAATCAGCACCAACTAAATCGGAATCAGCATTCCTATTAAAAAGCGTAAAGTGAGCTTCGGATTTATTTCTGATATAATCAATATACTTTTAATGATGGAAGCAATAAACGTCATTTAAATACGCAGTCATTAAGATATTTACGAAAAATATAGACGAATTTTTATAGAATCTGGACCATGAGTTAACGCGCCGAATGTCGGTTGCCATCTAGCCAGTTGTAGCTAATTTATTTGCATAGACCAAATACTCGACGTACCCGTCCTAAAAGTAAGGCGAACGGAGTAACATCTATTACTTGATATTATTAGGTCAGCACAACTTTATACAAATGAAGACTTTTCACACTTGATATTGATTTGGGAAAGAAGTCACGAATCATTTGCAACGCTGACTAAGCATTAAATAATTAGGAATTAGATTTGAAGTACACCAATTTTACTTATTATTTGAATGATAAGCTCGAACCTCATCGCAGGTATGTACGAAGTAGTTGGTAATTTTTCCGCCCAGAAGGGGAAGCAGGAATAAAGGAATGCGCAACTCTTTTCAGTGAAAGCGGCTCACAATTAGCGTTTTTTATGACATTTTACATTGTAGCCAGATCAGACAAAATACTTATTTTTGGGCTTTTAATTAAAACGCCCAACATTTATTAAGACTAAAAATTAATATATATTGACCGTTTAATATGGTATATGGAGAAGCTAGTTAAAAAAGTTTTTGTGATATTATGGTTTATTAAAAGAACTGATTTTTGAACTTTCAATACGAATTAAACTTCTTGCTCTCCATTAATAAATGGTTTTTATAATTTATATGTTTCTATCATTACAAAATATGTTTCATCAAATACATTTAAATTTTAGGTTTTCTTTCATTCTCATTGTTTTACATTTTTTATTAGTGATCTTGTACGGCGACAGCAAATCTCTCCGTTCACACATTTCAATCTGACCGTTCCAGTCGCTCCAATTACTAACCGTCAAAACCTACCCGATCCAGCCAACTGTCATGCATGGAAACAGTCGCCGACGCAAAACCGTACCCTTAATCAGCTGATACGACCTATCTTATGGGAGTGCAATGTGAATGAACACTCCCCACCGCTTCTACCGTCCGCTTCTAAGGACTGTATTTGAAATATTCTTAAACTAACTCGAAATTACAGTCGAATACTTTAATTTATTTATAAATAGGTAGACTATTTTTATGCATTATTATTATACATTATGAAAATTTTTAACTAAGAAACTAAATGTGTAAAAAATTATGTATACAAATTGAGCAATGGCAACATTGGTAAAATGAAAACCAAATAAAACAACCGATTTCTACAAATTTTGTTTAATACGGGCGGTAAGTACGGAAGGGCGAAATGTCGGTGACCGAAGTTATGCAACGTTTGCGTGAATAAATACGGCTCAAACGATCGGAATTGTGGAAAAAAAAATCGTGGATTCTGCGTCACGATAATGCACCAGCTCACACATTAATGCTTATTCGTGATTTTTTGGCCAAAAACAAATCCGTAATCATGTCTCAATCACCGTATTCACCAGACTTGGCTCCCTCTCAAAAATGAAAGGAAAGCGTTTTCCCACAATTGATGAGATAAAGTCAGAATCGAAGGAAGAGCTGATGGCCACACTGAAAAGCGCATTTCAGAAGTGCTCCGAGGATTAGAAAAAATGTTGGCACAAGTGTATTGTATGCGAGGGGGATTAATTTGAAAAGAACCAAATAGATATTGATGAATAAATAAGTACTTTTCAAAAAAAATAAAAATTCCCCTTTCCCTTTAAATACAACTCATACATATACGTATATTTTATAATTCACCTACTTATCTAAAATTCTTCTTGTAAGATAAACTTGCAACATTTTTTCAAGAAATTAATTTTTAAATTTACAGTTACTGTAATGAAATAATACCACTCGTTACGACGTTTACTTGATAACACAAATGTCGCATGTGTGGGCAAACACACTTATTCGGTGAAACACTTCAATAATCATAAATCTTATTGGTGGTTGCAACAGTAGCGCCAAAAGAGGCAAAGTGCTGCAGTGGCGATGTTAACAGCTTCCAAGTAACACCACGCTTCTTACAACAACTGCAACGGCAACTGCAACTTTAGCTGAGCTTAATCAAAAAATTGCAGCTGCAATGCGATGCAATGCCGAACAATGCTGCTCAAAGTGGCGCAACGAACCGAATGTGTGCGGCGCAAGGCGAATGATAATGCGGCAGCAACAGGACAACGACAATGATGACGACAAAAACACAATGCAATTGACGACAGCAACAACAATTGAAAGCAAACAGCAAAAACCTACAACAATGTCACAGACGACGATTACAGCTAGAATGAGACAACTAGGAAGGATTGCGGCAATATGTTTTGTTAGTCGGTTGGTAAGTCTGTCGGCCGGTCCGTCGGTTGCTTGATAGTTTACTTGCAACAATGCAAATTTCGAGTCTCTCGCTGCAATGAGATCGCCGACAGCGTTGACAAATACAATAAAACTACAAAAACATAACATTGCAACCATGATGTTGGTTGCTGCTGAGGTCGTCGCATAAAAGTAAAATAAAATCGACTCTATTGCGGCAACACAAGCACACAAACATGCACACAAGTGAGCAAATTTTGCACTTATGTGTGTGTCTTTATGCCAGTGAGCACATGCTGGTTTATTGCAAATATGCAGTTGTAGCCTCATCTGAAAAGTCCCACTTTCACCCATTGCATACCGATTGAGTAGAACAATGGCAACGTCAGAAATGAGAGCGTCGTGCCAGCGATTGTGTGGCAAAGTTAATGGAGGATTACGGTCGAGTGTATGTAGTTTTCAAATTAGCAGTTAAAGAGGTAACGATTGCAAAATAATGCAACAACTGTTATGACGATTGACCAATACAAATGTTGGTGTTACTTGATCTTAATGCCACTCACAATCTATTTATGATGAGGATAGTTGCATAAGGTGTAGTCACGTGTGCCTCAAAAGTTAAAATAACAACCGCCGAAACTGTGAAACAATACTTCTGTGAAATTAATAATTTAACTTCCATGTATCAAAGGGAAAAGCTCTAATAGAATACTTGTATATGTAACTTCGAAAAAAAGAAAAGTTACTGACCTTAAACTAACTCAACTCCGCACGAACTTAATAATAGAAGGTTGTTGTTACCTGTCAAAGTTCAAACCGTTAATTAACCAAATCAACACAAGGTTAGGATATAGATATATGTTTTGCAAGTATAACAATTTCTACTGACCTTCCTATATTTGGTATGTCGGGGTTGATTACGGGCACGTTTTTTACTCAATACCAGCACGGATCAGAAGGATGCGGAGCAACCGTGTTTCTAGGAGATATTCCAGTGACGACAAACTTAACCTAAAACAAACAAGGTTAGATCACCGATCTTTGTTATAATCGTCTGATATGCAGAGCTCATTGAAATAATTTATTAAATGTTAAAACGCATATAATTTTAATCAGATATCTTTAAAATTGTGCTAGTCATTTGCGATGGACACACATAAAAAAATTAAGAGGTAAAGTTTTATGTTATCTTCTCTCATTCTGAAATTTTCTTACTTCATATGTAAAGTATCTATTTCCAATATCCATATCCATCTTTTATATTCGGTTAGACTAAGTGTGACACTTAAAGGCAATCAAAAAGTTTTTAGTGACGAATTCTATAAACATCTTCTGAGCATCCGGCCATAATCGTTTGGAAAGGAACATAAAAACAAAACGACAGCGTCCCAGGGGCAGTTTAAGACAATGGATTATAGACTAAAGGCTCAAGCTTTGAAACGTCACTATTAAGAAGGTCCGTCAAATTATTTTGTAGTAGCTTGGATGGTAGACATACATTCTACTTTTAAGAAAACGATAACTACGTGGTAGTGTGGGGGGAAGTACAGATGCACTTATTATAAATAGCAATGTAGCTTTGTTTTGGTTAATTCCATTTTCTCTGACGATGTAGATACTAATAAACTTTCGTTTGCGTTGTTTTGCAATGCTAGTAGCATATAAGAGTGACATATTTTCACACCGAATAAATTAATCGAGTTGAAATGCGGAACATGCATAAATACCCAAACATCTAAAAAAGTTCTAGAATCAAGGATAGAGTGACAAATCATGCCATGTATTCATATGTGGGTTTGTAATCTATACAACGTATAAGAAACCATATCCGAAATTTGGCATTTATTCTTGTCGGATAAGCTTCCTTGAAAAAGACTTTAATAACGATGTGTAGCTCAGCGCCTGCAATACAAAATCCAAATGTGCACCGCGGTTTGAAAGGGAAACTCTACTAAACCTGTTTATTGATAACATATACTAAGTTTTATTTTATATTACAAGCTTTTTTATTTTGTTCTATTATTCTTGTAATTTTCAAACCTCAAGCTTTGTTCGTTTGTGTTGTAACTGCTGCTTTGATATTCTAATTGCAATTCACTGTTATATTACTTTTCCTTCTTTTCGCCATTTTGAATTCTTTTCTAGTTCATCAGAAATTCCCCACCCACCCACAGCTGCCTTTGGTCGTTTCGTAATGTTTATCCATGCCATTTTGTTTCGCAACTTCCGACGATTCATAATATTCACTTGCTTTGTACGGCGTTGTAACTTCGTGTTGCATTATTTGCCGCAATAACCCTCTGCTTTCATGAATTTGTCTAACCCAACCAACGTAGGGCGGCGGGAGAATTGATGGCGCTGAACTACATTGAGGGCATCACACTTGAGTTGAAACGTCAGCGTGCTGCTTAGGCTCAGGCTACAGAAAACTGCAACAACAAAGAAACTAATGCCACAATGGAAACAGCGCCGACAGCAGCTAGGTCCATGGTTGGCGTCTGCAACTGTAAACTGAATTCAAACAAAGCGCTGTGTTAGTAAGCGCAGAGGCCTAGGACGAGGCCGCCACTCAACTGTTTACACTGCAGCCTGTTTTTGTGAGATTTGGGGCACACAATAATGCTCTGGCTGACTACTTGTCGGTGGCATGAGTGCTGTGGTATGCTCAAATAAATTTAGTAGGGCCAGTGCCTGCTGCTTGCTGCTCTGTGTCATGTTGCAGCGTGGTGGGCGTTCAATTGGTACGACACAACGTTGCAATAACAAAGAACTAAAGGCCCATTCACATTCAACTTTCCTCGCGAACGAAGCGAAGGAAACAAATTATATGCCACAATGAACACTTTACTTTTAGTGTTTTTCTCTAATAAATATGGCGACTGTTGCATGGCAAAGCGTAAAAAGATCGCGTCGAAAACTTTTTATGTGAATGTACTCATACAAAAACATAAATCGAAATTTTCTTTCAAAACAAGTTTCTGATGCGAAGCGAAGCAAAAGTTCGATGTGAATTGGCCATAAACACCGCAGCGCGTCACTCAATATTTTTCCATTGCCTGAGTTAGTCAGGTTAGTTGGTCCTCTTTATGTCATACTACATTATCCAGTTGCAATCTAGCGGCAATCAAAGCCTTGTGTAGCTGTTTTCCCAAAGTATTTGAGCGCGAAAGTGATTTCTCATAAGAGAATACACACAAATTATTATAAAGTATAACAGTCATTCCATTGAACATTTACATTCAAAAACTTTTTTCGTACAAAACAGTGTTTTTGTATTCTTTGAGGCAAACTTTTGGACACGTATTTTTTATTTCGACTCAGGGTCAAAAATTTTGCAGTTATGAATTTTCAAAATTTCAACTTTTGGAAAAAGTAGCTTTAAACATTTTTTTCGATTTTACGACAATATGTACGTTTTAATAAACAAAATTTTTTTTATTTTTATTTGGAACTATTTTATAAGTTTTTTTTTTTGTAATGATAAATGTACATTCTGCTCTTTACGGACTCTTTCGGACCGTACAAAATTATAATTTTGACAAATTTTTGACCTATGTCTCTTGCGTTTGCGTGAAAAAAGCTCACGCGTGCAGCGCAAGAAGTAACGGCATGCGGTATCAAACATGCTTCGCTGCGATAGAGTACGAACAATCGCGCGCTCAAAACGCAGATGTTGAAGATTAAATATTTATTGTAGACGGAGTTTTCAACCATGGATAAAATGATCCGAAACTCTTTGATTCAAGAGAGCGCTGTCAAAGTCCACATTTTTTATAACATTTGACAGTGGTGCTACTAAGGAAAGAAATATTTAAGTTTTGAGATTTTTTAATGTATTTCTTGGGTATTTTTCGATTTCCATTTTCCAGAAAAATATGCATAATTAAAATTAGTTTAACAAGCTAGACATCCTAACTGACGTCTAAATATATGTACAT